TATTATAACATTATAAAGCAAAGTTCTTTAATAAAAATTTTATGTCAATTTGATTTATATAAAAAAATTTGTATAAAATTGATTCATTTTAATTATTTCTAATTACACGCACATTCGGTGCGCCCTTAACATTGGTCTCAATAAAGTTCATCCCATCTACGTTAGATCATCGAGTTAAATAAATATTACACAATATGAGCTTTGGCTTTAGTTTAGTCCAAAATGATTTAGGTGCTGACTGATTTGGCTTTCCTTTTTCTTCGAAATGTTGGTTAACCATAGTTTTCAATTTTGACCTACATTGTGGGATGTTTGATAGAAAAAATAAACTCAAGGGCTTTTCTATCTCATTCTCTGTTTCACTTTTTTATTATATCATCAAATTTTTCTGATAAATATTCTTGATCATATGATTAGTATTCTTAAACAATAAGGTAAAGAAATAAATCGAACCTAAGTATAGAAATATTTCTGAACTTAGTAACTCCTATGCCATCTTATGTTAATTAATCTCACCAATAATTACCTTCTTATAGGTTCAATTGGAACCTATAGTATATCTTTTTTTTTAATTTCTTTAAAAAGGAAGGGGTGGAATTTAGGGAAAAATTCAATGATTAAACATTTGATTATGTTGTAAACAATGACTTTTGGGGTTCGCACGGATCGTATAATTGCTCTCAAATAGAGTCCATATACTTGCATGTACACTTATGTTCTTTCTATTGTACAATTGCTTTTTAACATAGTACAGTAACTTGTTGATAGTGTCCACAGCTAAAGTGTACATGCTTAAAAAAATGTACAACTTCTTTTAAATGAAATACACTAACTTATTGCTCATGTCCACAGCTCAACCATATGTTCTCAAAAAAGTACAAATAGAAGAAAACATTGCTTGACTTAATAATATATAAATATTTGTTCAGTTACGAAAGATTACATAATCGATGTTTGTGATTATTGCAATTTTTATGCATGGCGATAGTCTTTCTAATTTGCTAATGAAGCAGAACAATCTATTAAATTCTTAATAAAATCATAAACATAATTAAGACATCCTACAAATCTTTGTAATTGATTTAAAATTTTTAACATCCTTTTGTAAGACATCTTTTGCTGCCTTGCAATCAATTCACAATAAAAACTTTTTATCTATCAAATCATTTTGAAATTTTGTAATACATATAACAATTGATAAAATTTCTAGAATCGGAAGCCTAGGATGAAAATGAAAGGTGTGAGACCCCGAAATTTTACTTCTCTTTATAACTCTTATTTGAACTTACTTGCATTAGATTCTTGGTTGTTTTAATGGTTGAATTTGAGCCAAGGGAGTGAATTTTGTTAAGAAAAGTTTCATAATTTCAAGTTGTTAAAAAATCTAGAAATTTTCACAGGAGGCTCTGCGCAGCTTTGGGAAATTGGTTATAACTTCGTATAGGAAAGTCAGAATTGAGTTCCATTTGTTGCGTTTGAAACTAAACTCATAGGGCTTCCTATGGTGAAAAATTTAGAATTTGATTCAATCTCTATAAATTCCAGCAAAGTTGACTGAAAAGTCTGCCCTGCACAAGTAAACATAGGAATGTTGTAGTAAATTATGGCTCAATTTGGACTAACTTATGAGCTAAATTTCTTTGATGTGTCTTCTAAAAATTATTAGTGTTTTAAGTCTAGTTTTTAACAGGTCAAGTTGTATGAAATGTTTGACATTTATAACTCAAGTTATGCTTTTTCTAAAGGAATGTCATAACTTAGGGTTTTTGTGCATACTAGGGTTTTTGGTGTGTTTTTGGTGCATTTTGGTAGTGTGATTAATTGGTGAGGAGTGTGTACTAAATTTGGTGGTTAAGAGTGAGTTTTATATAAGAGAAAGTGTGTGATTAGAAGTTCTAATAATAAGTTAGTGAATCATAAGTTAAAACACAAGTACGAGAGAGTTAAGGAAAATATGCTTGAATCGACGCGCACCGTTTGCTACCAATCGAGTACACCACTTGAATACTACTTTATTACCTTAATCTCCTTGTTTTTCATTGAGTTAATCAGCCCTAAATATCTCCTCCAAACAGCCGAAATTATTGACTAAATAAAAGAGAGGAAAAGAAAAAATTTGAGATTAAAGCTTGAGGCGACACTTGGCAACCATCCAAGGGTTGTTTGACCAACCAATTTCCTATCTTCTTATCACCAAATTAACTTCATTTCTGCAATTTCTGGTTGAGCTTGAGGAGAGGAAAAACCAAGAGAGGAAACTCCAACTCCAACCTTGAATCCATCTTGGTTTGAGAGAAATCAACCAATCCAAACCGATTAACCTTTCCTTTTAGTGCTTGGAAGACTTGGGGTGCTGAAAGTTTAGGAAGAAAGTGGTTTGTTTCATACCTACAAGGAGCTTTGGGAAGGTATCATGCTTGAACTTGTTTTTCTCTTGTTAATCTTGCTAAAGTTTGGATAGAAATCCTTAATCTTGGATTGTGATGGTTGAATTCCTAGTTTTGGATGATAAAGTGAAATGGTTAGCTAGGGTTTGAAATTTTCAGTTGTCATTATTGTTGTTTATACATTACATGATGTGGATGAGCTTGGATAGGGACTTGGGGTAGTGATTCAAGACATGAATGTGATTTTTAAGCATTGAAGCATCAAATTCCAGAAATTGTAGATAAATCTGCCCTGTTTCTGACCTATATATTCATCCATGTTAGAGGCCGAATCAGGTCTAGGTTAAAACATGAAAGTTGTAGCGAATGGAGTTATCTAGCTTTCTACAAAAGTTCAGCTCAATCGGAGTATTGTACCATGTAAAATGACTAAAATACTCCTGACTACCAAAAGCCCTATTTCACATGTAGCTTTCTGTTTTCTTTGAGATTGCACATTTTGACCTTGAAAATGCATGAATTAGGTGTTCATGTCTACATAAAAAATGTAGCTCTCTGTCTTAGCTTAGAAACAACATAAAGTATACCCCAATCCGATAAGCGTAACTTCAATTGTGACCGAAACGCCAAGAGACGTCAAACCTGCTGTTTTGTTATTTATCTTTAAAATTAGTTTCCGGACACACTACTAGAATTGTCTTGTAATGAATGACATTGAGTTTAGTTGAAGAGCTATTGTGTTAGCATTGCTTATGCGTGACTTTGGGCTGAATTGAGGAAAAATAATGAAGCCATAAATGGCTGAAAAATAGCTAAATACAAAGGGCATGCTGCCCAAATTTTCACTCAAGAGTTAGGCGTGTGTACTCGCAATTTGAGCAAAGATTTGAGGTTGAATTGAACTTGGATTGTCTATGGTATTCGAGTATTCTTTCGTAAAGGTATATAAGATGAAATTTGGCCGAAACTCGTACTATTGGAAAAATGAAAGTAGTGACCATTCAAAATATGTTTTTCTCGTCTTTTAAACTCAAATGCGAATTCCAAAGTTTTAGTTGCTTCTTTAGCAACACAAAAAGAGCGAGCATGAATTTTCTAGAGTTTGATAAGTAACATGAATACTATCTAAATGAGTTTCATTTACTTGATCTTCTTGAAGCGAAACTCCTATGCTTCGAACCCTAGTTGATTTTAAGCTCTTAAATGATATTGTATCGCAGATTTGGACTCCAACCAAGGGGTTACTCTTGAACGTGATTTTGACAAGCACTAAATCTTTAGTGAGTGCTTCCAAATACATGATTGAACTTGATACTTGATTAAATTCTTTACCAACGTGATCGGATAAGATTTGCTTGGTTTGGTCGGGCAAGTGTGTACTTTATCGCACTTGACCTAACTCAACTAATCACTTGATATCTCATTCATGTTTATGCAAGTGACTTGATTTGCATTGACTTGTACTTGTATTTGTACTTGTGCTTGATTTGTAAGTGCCGAGCGGCAGTATGTACCACATTCGATACAAGTGGGAGGTACCTCTCATTCCTGTCTCCGTACTTTTTCTTTTGACTAAGTCGATTGGTCATCGATTATGTTGATTACTTGAAAACCCAAACCCCACTGACTAGTTAATCGAGTCGAGCCGGCAAGGGCTTGGTCGATTAGATAACGAACAATGGGTCTCTTGTTTTGTCGAGTGAAGTGATACCTCATCGACTAATCGGTATACTCGAGTATTATCACCAGTGTTTAGTTGGTGTTCGGGCCCGGTAAGGGGGTTGAATGGTGGACGGATTGGTGTGAAATGAAGCACTGCTAGATTGGTTATTTTACTTGAAAGTTAACGGAGTGTCAACTAATACTAGATCAAGCTCTGGTGAAACAACGGGAATTTGGCTCCGGAGAGCCATCTACATCCTTATACTTTGATTGTTATTCATAGTGTTATTGTTTCTTTTAGAAAAAGAATTTTACACTCGCTCATTTTGAGATTTGCTACTTGAAGTGTTATTGTTCACTTTTATGAACTTGTTATACTCGCTATTTTGCTACTTTGATATGTGCACTTTTAAATAATGGTTAACTTGCTATTTGAAATCTCACTGAACTTTAACTCACCCTATTCTGTTAAATTTGTTTTCCTTACAGGGGATACGATCAAGGGCATGAGACTGGTACAAACTAGCATAGTCTAGTTTTTGTAATTTTGCGATTGTACTTACGCTAGTGCTCGATTAGGGTTGAATGTATCTGGGATTCAGTTCTTTTTTTATAATTGGGATTATACGAATGTTTGGAATAGAAATGAATGTACATATACGTTCCAAGTTTGGGAATTGTTATTTCCTTTACTCTTGAGGTTGTAACCTATTTTATTTGAAGTGAGTGAGTGAGTCCTAGTGAGAGTTGGGCAAGCAGTTCGCTAAACCCTAGGGTACGCCCTAGGGGGAGGTGGGGTCGTCACAAAAGAAATTGAAATTTTATCTTGAAGAAATAATACGATGCAATGCATGTTTGTAAAAATTAAAGCAGGCGACTTGGCTGATCATATGCGTGTAGCAAGCGGTAATACCAGGCATATGCAAGATGCATGTATACATAAGTCTGGAATATAAAATTTGAAATATTATTAGAGAACTTACAGAATTTTACTTTAGAGCTTGCTCTTTCTTGAAATAATCCTATCTATTACAAGGGATTTTGGGCATTTTGAAAGACTAAGGGTTTTAGAGAGAGGAGCTTGAGAGAGTAATTTTAGAGAGAAGTTCTTCTTCGCTTGCTTCGTTTGGCTACCTTCCTCTTCTTTATATAGAGTTGATAAGAGAGATATGCTTGAGAATATCCTTCCAATGATGTCATTGCTTGAGTCATCTTATCTTCTTCTCTCTGGTAATCTGAAATTTCATTGGTTGTTTGGATTTCTTCTTTATCCGACATTTTGATTGGCTGGGTCACACTTTTATTAAATTGGGATGAAAATTCCTTAGCAATCATCTTCATTTTCTCGAGCAGGATCTTGAGAAAATTTCAGCTTTTCTTCATCATTAATTTGGGATAGGCATCGATCAATTTTTTCTTGAAATCTTCTTTACTGGTACTAGCTGTCATGAGGGATTAGAACTTATTTTTTTGTAGTAAAAAGTTCTTGATTTTTTGAGAATGCCTCCATATCCTACCTCTGATGCGTCTATTTCAACTATCATAAAATGCATGCAAATGAGGAATTCCTAAAAATGGAAGATCCTTAACAATTTGCTTAATCCTTTGTACTGTTTTAGTATGATTTTCGATCCAGACTGGAGGATTCTTTCTAAGTCTTTTATATAGTGGTTCACAAATTTGTCTTAAATTCTTAGTAAAATCAGAAATCTCCATTTGACAAATGAGTTTTTTGGATGTTGACATAAAATTTTACTGTAGATTACTATAGAAGTTCTAGAAAAAATGTTTAAGATGGAAAACAATTTTTATTCTTTTTCTTTCTTTTTTTTCTCTTTCTCTTTCTTTTTGTTCTTTCTTTTTTCTTTTCTTTCTCTCTTCTTCTTCTCCCGTCCCCGTCCCCTTCCCCCTCTCCCTTCCCCACCACCTCTCTTTCGCCGCCGAAACAAGTAGCAGCAGAAACAAACATGGCTTTTTTCTCTCTCCCTATCTTCTCTCTCTCCCTCTTCCTCTCCCTTCCCCACTAGACAAGCAATAGTAGAAACAAATTTTTTTTTTTTTGCAATTTTCTCTCCCCTTCTCCCCTCCCTCTCCTTCGCCAGACAAGCAGCAGCAAAAACAAATATACTCAATCTTCTCCCATTCCCTCTCCCTCTCCCTCTCTCTTCCCCTCTCCCTCCCCCGCTACCCCTACCCCTCTTCCTCCCCCGTTACCCTCCTATTCCTCCCGGTGCAATCTGGTCGAGTGAATTTGGTCTCGCAACTAGATCAGACAGAAGAGGAGGGGGAGGATGGCAGGGGAGAGGGAAGGAGAGGGAGAGAGAGGAGGGGAGGGGAGGGGAGGGGAGGAGGAGAGGGAGGAAAAAAAGAAAAAAAAACAGGTAACCAACACTGAAACCGCCGTTTTTAGCATCGGCTAGTCTTGGCCAGCGCCAGAGGTGGTGGTGGGTTGAGGTGGAAGAAGAAAGGAAAGAGGGAAATTTTTTTATATATATATATATTTTGGGTATTTTGAAGTATGTAATTTAAAATTTTTGAGAAATTTCTTAATGTTACTATAGTTAAAGTTGTTAAAAACTTGTAGTAAACAAACTTGGCAAAAAATTCCTTTGCCAAACAGGCTTCTAACTACAACAACCTAAAAATCTTTGTAATTGATTTAAAATTTTTAATATCTTTTTGTAAAACATCTTTAGCTGCCTTGCAATCAATTTGCAATAAAAACATTTTAGTTATCAAATCATCTTGAAATTCTGTAATACATAGAACAATTGATAAAATTTCCAAAATCGAAAACCCAGGATGAAAATGAAAGAAATTGGAATTTTATCTTGAAGAAATAATACGATATGATTCATGTTTGTAAAAATTAAAGTAGGTGGTTTGGTCGATCATATGCATGAAGCAAGCGGTAATATCAGCCATATGCAAGATGCATGAATGTATAAGTATGGATTATAAAATTTGAAATATTATTAGAGAACTTACAGAATTTTGCTTTAGAGCTTGCTCTTTCTTGAAATAATTCTATCTGTTACAAGGGAGTTAGGGATTTTTAGAGAGAGGAGCTTGAGGGAGTACTTTGAGAGAGAAGTTCTTCTTCAGTTGCTCCATTTGGCTACCTTCCTATTCTTTATATAGAGTTGATAAGAGAGATATGCTTAAGAATATTCTTCTAATGACGTCATTGCTTGAGTCATCTTATCTTCTTGTGTTTGGTAATCTGAAATTTCATTGGTTATTTGGATTTCTTCTTTATCCAACATTTTCAATAGTCGGGTCCTACTTTTATTGAATTGGATTAAAAATTCCATGGCAATCATATATATATATATATATATATATAACTAATAAAATAAACTACAAAAAGTAGAGAATGTAGGGTAGAACAGATAAGGAAATAGTAAGAATATTTCAAAGGTTACAAATGAGACTTATATGCCCTCTATTTATAGGTGAAACAAAGGTACATGTACAAACATGAATATAAATACAAGAATTTAGTACTTTAAATACATGAATTGAGTAGTTCCAAACTACGAGAAGATACATGAATGTACAAATGAACATTGTAGGGTAGATGAATGCTGTGATGTATTTTGGGGAGATAAATGGACATCTACACTTATTACTTTATTAATTTCATAACACTCCCTCTTATATATCTATGCCACAAAGAATATGTCTCGTTAAAATCTTATTAGAAAAAAATCCAATGAAAAAAATGCCCTAACGAAGAAAAGAGAGTAAACTATTCTTTTGGATATTAATATTATATATAACTCCCCCTATTATAAACATTATTTGAGATCGTAATAAAACCCAAATTTGATGTAAAATTAATTGCCAAATGGAGTTTGGTATAAGGCGTGGCCTGACATGCATAAGCCTCTTTTACCTGGGACATCCCAAAGAGGATCTTATCTTCACTCCATCGGAGCCTTTTCTACAAATAAGAAGGCCCAATGCAACTTAAGTAGCGCCATTGATTCGACCTGTAGAGTATGACCATTGAGCTCGACTGCAGGTTGCATTGATATATGGGCTTCTGTTGTAGTTCAGTCCGAAATGATTTTAGGTTTCAATCAATTTGGTTTCCCAGGTGTATGAGAAAAATAGCCAATTGTTTGGATTACTATTTTTGGAGTTTTTGTAGGATATACGTAACGATTTAATATATGTGAGATAAAAAGATGATTAAGAAATATGTTTATAAAAAACCTAAAAATTTTTTGAAAAAAATAGCAATCCAAACAGAGCAACATGTCAAGAATATTAATGCATAAAATATCTAATTTGATTCTCAAATTTTTTTTTCTTTTCTTTTCTCTCTTATAATGTTTGGAGTCTCTCTTAGATTATTTTTAATGAAAAAAAGAAAAATTAGTTCCCAACAGCTTCAATTTCGACCGGCTGGGGCATTATTATTATTTTTTTAAAAAAATTAATCTTTGAAAAGCAGTCCTAAAAATAAGACAAAATTACTTCTCGTTAAAGTACAAAGTTTTCTTGAATCAGAATCCACCACTAATACTCAGTCAATCCTTACTTTAGAAAGCCAGAAAAGTCCATACTCTGCAGGAATATGTTTCTGCAATATTTATCACTTCTACTACTGGGCATTGAAAATGTAACAACAATAGCTTTTTACTGTATTTTAAAGGTCTGGCTGGTATTACTGCCTATGGGGGATTTTTTGACGTTTGTCACCCCAAGAAAGGAGAAAAAGTATTTGTATCAGCAGCAGCTGGTGCAGTTGGTCAGCTTGTCCGGCAATTTGCAAAATTGACAGGTTGCTATGTTGTTGGAAGTGCTGGAAGCAAAGAAAAGGTGATATTCTAGCCTTTTCCAAGCGTTTGCTGATCTGAAATTTTATGAGGAAGTACTTTTTCGTGATGGAAAATTTATAGGAAAGCTATGAACTGCATGCAAAACAATTAAATTCTGATAGGGATGTACATTTCTTTGTGCTACAAGGTTGATCTTTTGAAGAACAAGTTCGGATTCGATGATGCTTTCAATTATAAGGAAGAGGATGACCTCGATGCTGCACTGAAAAAGTGAGGATTTCATCTCCTATACAAGCTGCGATCTAAAAATGAAGATAATATTTAGTACGTATTAGTAAATAATCATAATTTTTTTTCTTGGCATAGGTATTTCCCCGAGGGAATTGATATATACTTTGAAAATGTTGGGGGGAAGATGCTGGATGCAGTGCTCCGGAATATGAACATGAACGGTCGAATTTCTGTTTGTGGAATGATCTCACAATTAATACAATCTTGAAAAGCCTGAAGGAGTACACAATTTGATGTGGCTCTTTTACAAGCGAATTACCATGCGAGGTTTTTGCGCTTTCGATTTCTATCACCTCTTCCCAAAGTTTGCTAATCTATGTTGAAGATATTGCTGGAGGCCTCGAGAGTGGCCCTTCTGCCCTTTTAGCAATGTTGGGAAACAACTTGTCTTGGTTGCTCGAGAGTGATCCATATCCAGTTTCAGCAATTTCTTCAGCTCACTGCTGTGGCTTTTGATAATGTGATAATCTTATGAACTGGGAATTTTGTTGTAAAATTCAAAGCCTGAATTACAAATTTTAGTATCAATAAAAGGATTTTTAAGGTTTCAATGTAACAGTAGTGAGTGAATTTGGTCCCTTGAGTTGACCAAGATAGTAGAGTTAGTGTCATACCTTCCTGTCAATTCGAATTCAAACTTCTCTTGGGACATCCGTCCGTTGCACGGGACTTGTCTAATGCGTCTTATTTCTCCATGTGGTTAACGGGTTATTAATTGCATGAGACGAGTTTTACTTAGTACGCACTTTCAGGTAGCGACTGTGGTTCCTTGTCAACAAAAATAGTGAGTGAATTTGGTGTGTCTGTTAAAGTTCCATATTGAGGCTTTTAAGTTGTCGTGGGTTCTTTGTGTTCTAGCATTCTTGAATCAATTGCTTATTGCCCGATAAAAAGTCCAAGGTCAAGGCCAAAACCCAAAAAATCACAAAGAATACAATAATATCTTTATTATGTCATGAATTTATATAAGCTGTGTATGTAACAAAATAAGATCAAAAAACACTCGATGGTTATTCAACTATGAAATGGATGAGTACCGATCTAATACAAAAGATTTATTTACAAAATTGCAGAAATTAAGGCTTGAAATGTAACTTGGGAAATGTTGTGGGTGGATCTATGATATTTTGGAACGATCAGAGGTTAAAGTTGAAACCAGGAAAAGGTTTAGGGCATAAAAGCTATGAAACATATATAAGTCTAATTCGTTTCTGCCTCGGTGAAACCTTACCCCAAAATTTTAATAGAATCTTTAGTATATTGTGATTTATGTGTATATTTTATAAAATAAGAGAATAGTTTGATTATGAAAATATAGTTCCCAAATATTATATTTGATTAATTTACACCATCCATTTTACCCTTTTTTATTTTCAATAATATTATGTGTAGGGAATGTAAACTATTATAGTATAAGTAGAAAATATTTAAAAATATATAAATTTGGGAAAAAGAAACCTAACCTTTTCTAGTAACATTACATTTTTAAAATTTTTTAACAAATATCTTCATGTCTATTAGCTTTCATGCGTATTGGCTTCAAAATCAATAAAAGACTACCCTTTGCACTTCTTATAGGATCTTAGGGCCTGTTCTCGAGTGATTGTGATTTTGTAAAATTGATTCTTAAAATCAGATTTTTTTTTATAATAACTCATGCGTTCTCGTTGATCATTAAAAAAACCATTCTAATAAATGCATATGTGTTCTCGAAAGAGGTTAGAAAACTAATTTTGACAAAAAGATGACTATATTACCCTTATATGCTACATAAATGAATTTTGTACTAATTAAATAATTTTGATGGAATTAATTACTTTTGTTATGAAGATTAAATTGAGGATGAATCTAGAAATGAAATGAGAACAAGAAAGAAAATAGAAAGACCATAAAAAGTTACCTAAACATTAGGTAACTTATTAATTATGTTGAAATTTAAAGCATAATTTTATCTATGTGAAAAAGTAAGTCAGAATCAAAATCTAAAAGCACCTCAAAACCTGTACTTGATTTTCAGAATTTTAGTGTCAAAAAAATGTAAAAATCAATTTTTTTTTAAAAAAAGTAGTTGAAAACAAAACAAAATAGCTTATCAAGAATTAAAAGCTAAAATAAAATTTTCAAAATCAGATGAGAACAGGCACTTAGTCTTTTGCAATCTTACCATAATCACATTTTATAACTTATCAAATAAATCCAACATGGAATCTCAATTTTATAAACTTTGGTTAAACTAATGAAGGGCATGAGGACATGTTTTGTGAGAAATTGTTATCCATGCTAGTTAGGGGTTTTAGAGTTACATTGGTTGAGATAGGAAGGTAAAGAAGGGAGAATAATCAACAGGCGAGTATGATTACATAAGCTTGGCCATAAACAAATGAAAAAAAATATGGGGGCTAACCTATCATATACTTTTTTATTTTTATTTTAGTGGGGTAAGTTTTTTTTGTATAAAATTAGATATTTTTGGGAGAAATGGTACTGGTGTCACCAAAAAAAAGAAGTGCTAGAGAGATGAATGGTTTTTAGTTTCAAAAGTTTATAAATATAACAGAAGAAACATCATCAAAAAGGGAAGAAAAAGAAGACAATATAAAAGATATGTTTTGCTGCATTGCAAGGATGGTTGGTGGCATTTTTTATAGGAAACATGTCCATTGGTTGAAGAAAAAATGTATTATTTCTTTCACCTGAATTCTACTTGTGAAACCTCCGCTTGCATTGCAAGCATGGTTGATGGCATTTTTTTATAGGAAACATGTCCGCTGGTTGAAGTAAAGATGTGTTCTTTCTTTCGCCTGAATTCCACTCTCGAACCGTCTTCAAAACAATAGAAGTTTTTGGTAGTTTTGATAGAAATTATAGATCTAGACCATGATTCTTAGAAGAACCATAATTGGTTCCATCATTTCCAACAGACTTATAGAATGCTTCCAAAAAAGAGCAGATTTTCTTTTCCATTTCGAGCATATTCTTATATTCTATGATTGATTTTTGCAGCACCTTCTTTTATCCTGTTATTAGTCACATCCTTAAGCAGTATCTTTTAGCAATTTTTAACAATCAATCATTGACATCATGGCAAAAAAATTATAATGTTTAAATACGTATGAAGATGTGTCTAGTTCAGCCTTATCCCTGTGGTTACACTCTTTTTTTTTTTTTTTTTTTATACGGAACGAAATATATGCTTATTTGATCTAATGAGGAATAATCAAAAATTATTAATGAAACATTACAATGTGAAAAATATTATTAAAGGTCTAAAAATGTCTGGATAGCATCTAAGCATTTTATAGTTTTGGAACATAAATTTTTGAACATAGTTTGTTGGAGAAAATCATTTATATATCATACAAAATTCGGAAGTTTGGATTGTAGTTTATATATCATACAAAATGCCTGACTTAAACAACAAATAATCAAGCTAGCTAGGGCTGACCACTTTCCATGAGTATATTATCTTATTTGCTCATTGGAGACAGAGAAGGTTGTTTTGTTGAAATTTTTGTTTCCAACCTTGGATCAAGAAGAGGCATAAACTATGCCTATGCATACCTTATGAATGCCAAATCACAATACGGTACAAGAAGACAATATGCAGTGCACATAATTATCAACAAATCAGAGGCATTCCTGATTCCACACAATAGTGAAATATGCCTAGTATGGGAAACAAAATACTGCAAGTGATTTTTCTTTTTTAATTGTTCCACAAAAGCAAGAAATTGGAAATAACAAAAGACGTGAAAATTGAAGAGCATGTGTCTATGTTCGTGCGCCAACTATTCATAATCCACCAACACAATGATGATAAGTTGATTTTTTTTTTGTCATCATTATTTTATTTATATTATGCTATTCTATTTTAATCTAAAAAGGAGGTCCAATTGGATCTACAGAGATCAATTCGAACTGAACCATCACCGAACTTTATAGGTGTATGAAACACTCGTATGAATTTTTTTAAAACAATTATATATTATTGTAATTGATGAAAAGTAGAATTTAAAAATTGATCGCCCGTCCCAGCAGATCTCAAGGACATGGTAGTGGCCGACAGCCTTAATGATAATGATGATAAGTTGATGGGTTAATTTCACTTTGTCCCCCAAACTTTGGATAATTATCCACTTCAGTTTCTAAACTTTAAAATAGGACACTTAAGTTTCTAAACTTATAAATACCTCCCACTTAAGTCCCTAAACTTATAAAATGGGACACTTAAATCTCTAAACCCTTATAAAATGGGACACTTCGACCACCAATGGCTTTCAGGATTTGTTAACAATTTTCCTTAAGTGGGAGGTATTTATAAATTTAGGGACTTAAGTGTCCCATTTTGAAATTTAGGGAGTGAAGTGGGTAATCGTCCAAAGTTTAGGGGGACAAAGTGGTATTAACCCTAAGTTGATGACTACAAAACAATAACAAAAATGGGGACTAGTTGATGGTTTGTGGCGATGTGCCCCTGTCAAAGTTGGAGATTATTGGGGATTTGGGACCTTTAAAATTGTGAAATGGCAATTTCACCACATAATGCACACATTTTAATGCATTAATTGTCAACACTAAGAAAAACAGATGTAACACTACTTGCATGTCGATGTCTCGGCATCTACATTTAAGGGAGTTTTTCTGAAAATCCAGTAAAAGGGTGTAAATATATCACTAGCATCAACTCATAAGCAAACCAAGAAAACCGAAAGGTCTCTCTGGCTTTTTGAAGGGATTTCATTGAAATGCCATTGCATCTCTTGCATCATTAACAGATGTGCTTGAAAATTAGCGTAGATAATTCATGGAAGCGATGTTTGCACTCCTCAATTAGCCTCCAAAGAGTGAATTACACTAAATGGGAGTGTCAATTCTTAGTGAGTGAGTGAATTAGAGTGTTGGAAGCTAAATGGGAAATGCAAATGTCAATTCTTATAATTCATGGGTTAATTACACTTTACGTTCCTTTACTCTAAATATATGCACTTTACCTCCTATAATGATTAGTTGAATGTTAATGATAAACTTTCTATCCAAGATATTGATAAAATGACATTAATGCCAATACATAATGGTTGTTGGATATTGCTATATTTTAAGTTAGAATATGGAGCGCTTTTTGATAAAAGTACCGAGCCACATGATATGAAAAAGTAAAACTAAAATAATGGTGAAATACAAAAAAAAAAAAAAAAGGTTAAAAAATTGTGTTGTAGAGTTAAAAGGTTTTAAGAGCATCTCCAAAACTCCTACACTAGATGTCCATCTCTTCTCTTTCTTACTATAAATTTAGGAAAAACAACAATTCATTTGATAATTTTTGCTTACCTACATTTTCACCAAATTTACACGAGTCAATAAAATGTGAATTGAGATTTTATAAAAACATTTTCCACTTTTATTTTATTTTTTAATTACTTTTTTATACCATATAATCACATAAAAAATGCATGGTA